CCAAGTTTCAAAACTTATTTTTTCTTATTCATCATCAAAAACTGACGTGAGTATGAGAACAATGTTTGCTCCAGTTGGAGCCAGGAATCTATCCAGTATGGTTCACTTGGATTCGCTCAGTCAAATGTTAGTGAATAATTTCGCAACCCATCTATTCTTTTTCTGACGAGGTAAAGCTGATGTTCTTACTTTATTCGAACCGTCGAAAGTTCAGCTTTAAAAGCAGCACAACATGGAGCAAACATTGTTCTCATACTCACGTCAGTTTTTGATGATGAATAAGAAAAAATAAGTTTTGAAACTTGGAAAGAACTTAAAAGTACAAAATTTAAATTTTTACGAAATTCCAGCGTTTCCAAACATTTATATCAATTAAAGTTTTTCCCTTAAAAAATTTTTTTCAACAATTAAAAACCACATTTGCTTAATCATCTCGATGCGATCTATCCAACTATGTATAAATGAAAGGAAAAACTTCCACTGTACTTTTGAACTGCCTGCACCCTATATAAATAAAGAAACGAAAAACAATGTGTGAAAAGTTTTTAACATATGTAACAAACATAATTGAACTGTAGTTTGGCGTTGTCTAATAGTTAGTTTTGTTTTCCAAATCGTGCTCATTCGATTCTCCACACAAAATTGCCAAGATGCTTAAGTTTTAAACCTTGAAAACGTTTCCTCATGAAAATATGAACTTTTTATCTGAAGCATTACAAAAACCTACCGAAAAAATTTTTATTTTCTTGTCAAATGGTCTGCCAACATTTAATTCGAAATTAAAAGGTTCGGCTTACACTTGTCACGATGTTTTTATTGTGTGAAATACGCGAAAATTTAAAAGCGAGTACTGAACAAACAAAAAAATGTTGGCGAATCAAGAAAAATATTCAGATTAGTATCGATAAGTATTTTTTAGTGCACTGTACACGATAAATTATCTGCTCGGTGCAATAATTCTTGGTTATACATTAAAAAAATATCATCCAAGGCATCAAATATATATTATTTATTTTGAAGATGTTGTGAAACTAAGTCCGTTGAATGTGTTAATCGAAGTTGACTGGATATCGCGTATCCAGTAAAACGGATAGCACCTCCGTTCGAAGGAACATATCATCATTTCAAAGATCAATTTACAAAATTAATATTGTAGAATCTAACACAATTTAATTCAATTATTTATTTGGATTCCGATACGACTATCATGGCTGACATTTACATAATATAGTTACAAATCCATTGAAAACAGGTTTTGAGTTTGCTGCATCCACAGATAATTGATTTGGAAAATTTATATTCAAGTTTAACGTTGGTGTGTTGGTTATTCATTCGTCGACATCAGTGTTCAATGTAGACTCCTGCAGGACAGCCCCGAGTCCCATCCCGTCTGTTCCGTCCCGTGGGACAGACGGGGTCGGATCAAAAAACCATTACGGGCTTGGGCTCGGGACAAGAAAAAACATTTCATAGACTCGGGACAAGTTGTAGAAAAATGTTGTCCCATAAGTTGTCTTTTGATTGTAATTATGCTGCAACTTCAAATGTTTAATCTTTGTAATACTATCAAGTCAAAACCGTAATTTTATAATAACGAATATGACTTAACCTGGAGAGCCGAAATAGTCTGAATTTAAACTTGAGAAGATGTTCCATATATAAAACTCGGTTTACAGTTCTTTCCTTTCGATTCTGAGCTACTGAGTGGATGTAAAACATCTTTTTATACAGTAAATTTTAAGTTTAGAATCAAATAAATTAAGGCTTAAATTTTGTCATGCGGATTTTTTGCAAAAATGAGTTTGAGATTATAAGCGTCTCTTGTAACAGTTACGGTTTATCATAACAGAAAAATATTTTCAAAAAATTACGGGATAAAAAAGCCCGTAAATTTTTTTCACGGGACAGGCGGGTTCAGGACAACATTATTTGCTCACGGGCTCGGGCTTACGGGACGGGACAAAAATTTTTATGTTCGGGCTCGAGCTTACGGGTTTGATGCGACAGAAAATTTTGTTCCACAGGACTCTAGTTCAATGAAATAATACATGTCTATAAAATAGCAGGCAACTACGAAGTTCAAATGACCGAACAAGGGTTTCTCAATCAATACTATCGTTTAAGTTATATTTAATTGCCAACAGTTTACAATATGAGCATGGCTTTGTACAATTTGTATCCTGATTTATGACATACATTGAAACCAGATTTTAAAATTCATCATTTCACCATATATAAATCGGGATTAAGGCAGTTTGAACGAGGTTACAATGGACCGTATGAGTTATATAAACAGATATGAAATGAGTTCAAATCAAATGTCGACATTAAAACAATTACACGAAAATTTAATGCGACTATTTATTATTAGTTTATTTTTTATTTTGTTAATTTAGATTAGAATTAGTTTTTTGCTATTTTTTATATGACTGTATAAACTGGTGCATTGTTTAACATTTTTAACCACAAAAGTATCATTTCAACAGATAGATTGATTGATATCGGAACGGGATTTTCGAACGTCTCGTCGTGTCTCGTGATATTTCCATTTTGTTTTGAAAGAAAGTTTTAAAAGCTGTTTTATCTCGTGTGACGAAAATTATCGTCAATTCCGCTTCGTCTATCTATTTAACGCTTATCGCATACATTATAAAATACAAAAAATAATGGAAAAAGGAATCAAAGTCTTCCCGCCATTTCTGTAACCAATTTTTGAGATGCCATTAGTTTCAAACGATGTGTTGAGAAAGAACGAATTTCATCTCGTCAAATAGTTCTAAAAATCCATTTTGTCTTTGTTTGCTCGATTCATCCATCTTGGTAAATATAGAGAATCGGTGAGGAGAAATACTATCCGATAATTGAGTGAGTGGCATTCATATTATTTTCAACAAACTGTTTCATGCAATTTGCCAAGACCTCGTTCTGCCTCTGAACGATAAAAGAATATACTCATCTCATTTCGACTAAAACTCATTACGAGTGACCCTCTGTCATATTTTATTAGACTTTTTCGCATTATCATTCTCTAAATGATGTTTCATCGCCAAATAAACTTGAGCTGAGAAAGATACGAGTAAAAAATAGATAAACAAGAAAAAGGATGAAGAATTAGATGAAGTATAAATCACGTATAAAAAATATATATACACATACGCATACACACAACTAACTGTTTTTTACTATAAATTAGTACAAGTGCCCGCAGAAAGGAGATAATTAAATATCTGACTGATTTTAGATAAATGCATGAAAACTGTTAAAATTTAGTTGATTTAATTCTTTTACTCTGTGATGAGATTGACATTTGTGTTTTAAGTGAATGCTTTTTTACTTTTACAAAATCATCGTCATTGTCGTCCGCATCAACTCGATTTTCACTGGTTGGTGTCGATATTTGAACGTTCTCAACTTCCATTTTAACTTTATTCTTTGAATGTTGAAAATAAGGCGATTTTTGAGTACTACAAGTGTCTGGCAGGATGATGTCTAACGTTGTCGTTGTTTCTAGTGAGGTGGCGGATTGATTTCGTTTTGAAGAGTTTGTAGCCGATGGACAATGAAACTGACTCAAATTACTCGATGTTGGTGTATTATTTCGAAATTTTTGCTGTTGTCTGCCTGACATAAAACGTTGATGAGCAGGTGTAATAACAGGTGGCTTATAGTCGTCATCTTCAATAGGAACTTGCCATTTATAATTTGATTGAACTAGTGGTGATGCTTTACAACATGACGTGTCCATTTTCGAACCTAAAAGAATGAGAAAAAAATAAAATAATATTTCTTCAACAAACATGGTCGCCGAATAAAAAACAGAAAACTAATTAATCTTTAGATGTACTTGGAAGTTCAGGCTGTAATAGCCCTTTAACAAAAAAAGCAGATATTGAAGCACAATTACAATGATACTGCTTTGAACCATAAAAGAAACTGCTGGAAATTTGGCGTTAATAGAAATATAAGGAGAAAAGGATGCAAATGTTTGTATACATATGTTTTCGAGAGTCTAGTATCGGGACTAAAAAAATCTGCACGATATTAAATAGTTCGTTAAATAACTGAGAAAATCTTTATCGAAACTATTTAATGTAGATTAAATGAAAAGTTCCCCAAGGAAAATGAGAAAGAAGAATTTTACAAAATTTCTTTTCCTGAATAGACAAGACAAGTAAGATAGAAAGCAACCTTTATTGTGGACAAAACGCGGCATCATTAATTCATTGACACTTTTGTCCACTACCAATTAATAACTTAAACAACGCATTTCGGATACACTTTTGCTATACTTTTGAAACTTACATGATGACATGATGGTAGTGGTTATTGATGGAGCACCAAAATTAAGTCGTTGATCTTCATCATCATTCCTAATTGATTTTATATTTTCTAATGATTTTCGTCCTTCATTTTCATTTAAAACAATTACTGCTTTATTCGTTTGTAATTCAATGTTCTCTTTGTTCGTCTTCATATTTTCAATAAACTTTTCTAAAGATTCAATAACATTTGAATATGTTGGATAAAGATGTAAACGTTGACGAATCCATTTCGATATTTTATTATTACATTTTGTATTTGAATTAACAAAACGTTCATCAACGATGATTAATGCACCCCAATCATTTCGATGTCGAATACATCGGCCTAAAGCTTGATTGAGAGCGCGAAATGCTTGTGAATCATACCAATCATTACCATTCATAACACTAGGACATGTTAAATGTTGTTTCGTATTATAATCACGTTTAAATACAACCTTTATAATAAGATGAAACAAATACATAATAAGTAGGAAGGACTCATACAACACATTCAAGAGATATATTCAGCTAATTCAATTGCGCAACGAATAATGCAGTAGTCATCTTATAAATTTCAACACATTTTAACGAATACGAATATCAAGCAATATAGAATACATCGAAAAGACGTATTTGATCAGTTTCAACAAATTGAAATCATTAAAAAGTTAATCGACAAAAGCATTCTCAGAAAAAACGAGTTTCTACGTACATCATCATCCTTGAGGTTTGGATATGGAATACCGATTGTTATCACACAACGTGCATTATTGTCAGAAAAATCAATACCTTCGCTAGCCCGTCCACGACAAACAGCAATAAGTAAACCACCGCCAGGAGACGTTCCATCACCTCCTGTGGGATTTGAAGTAGTATGTTCATCAGTATGTTTTCGTTTCCACGTGCTAATACGTTTAGGATTTGGTTTTGATTCTGTTTTTATGACTGATTTCGTCGTTCCATTCGCTTCATAAAATAATTTTATTATATTAGCAAAATTTTCGCTGCCTTTTTCTTCAAAAAATATTGCTTTATATTTTGATATTCTGTCCCATATTCCACATTTTAACCAACGATCACGTAAAATACCAAGAAATCTATAGGAAGGAACAAATGCTAATACACCATATGGAATTTTCTGACAAATATCTAATATCAAATTGCCAATTTCATCCTAAAACATTAAAAAAAATGCTGTCACTTAACAAAGTACTCAACCAACTAAAATTTAAAGAGTTAATAGCCACCAGCAGTGTGCGATATGTGGAATTGTACGTATCTTAAAGATGCAAAATTTAATTTTTGTTTGCAGAACTGGCTGAGAAAACTTTTCATGAAAGTGTACGTTACATATCTACAAAAATGTAGGTAGTGGAAAAAATTTTTGGTACCATCCCACTAATGGTTACATATTCGTATCAGAAACACAACGACTAGGATTTATGTAGCCGAGAGATACTGCATGCAAGACGCATTCATTTGGAATCTAATACTGCGGTTAGACTACGTAGTGAATTGCGATCAGAGATTTTGCCTAGAATCGCAACCTTTTTTAGTTTTAACAATAACTAATCATGACTGACATGAATATGTGACAGTACTAGTCATGATTAAGAACATTTCGGTCTAGAGATTGTCGACGTCCAGTACGAATAGCTCATTTTTATATCAGTCAAGTAAAGCGAACTCGATAATTCTACTGAATGTGATTAGAGGAAGAGCATCTTACGTTAAGAGAAAATACCTCAATTGTCATTACCAAACAAATATTTGTAGCCATCATTTTACTTTTTTATCCTATAGAGAGGAATATATTCTTGCAATTGTGGTTAGATGACCATACCAACCATAATCACTATGGATCGCTATTAGAATTGTGATCACACATCAGCTTAATTGCAATAAGCTAATCAGGATTAACTGTGTAGGATAACTATAGTGTCATACTGATGTAATCAAAATAATCTATACCTGAAACTCATTTTTATCGATATTTTGATATGTTGCTTTTAATTTAATTTGTTCATTTCTTCCATTGCTTAATGCTGTTATAAATGTTCGCTGTTTATCTATAACATGATCACATTCCATCTGAAAATCAAATGGTATTTTTAATTCTGATGGATACGTGGCCAATGGTGCCAATGTCCCAGAGGCAAATATGATGGAACGTGTTAATTTTAAATCTTTAGCAAATGCAACAGATGGTGATAAACAAAAATATTCAAGTTGGATCGTGTAGAGTGGATAGTCGGATTTTTCCAACGATCTCTTGTAACGTTTTCCTTGTGTTTGTTTATCTGACATGTCTAACCATACATCATTATTTTCATCGTCTTGATAAGTTTGCTGCTGCTGTTGTTGTTGTTGTTGTGATAGCATTGTCGTTGTCATTTCAAATTGGACAGTTTTCATTATCACTTTGTAATCATCGCAAAACTGGTAATCATCAGCGTATATGATGGATAAAAATAATTCAAATTCTTCCATGAACAATCGTATGTCATCTGTAAATATCAATGATTCGGAACTATTCGATGTTATTTTATTCAAAGCTTTACGAAAACGACATGCATCTTTTACTGTCGATTTTGATGTTGATTGATGAACCGAAGCACTAAAACATAAAACAATAATAATCATGAAAACAGAAGTTTTTCTGAATTGTAGGTTTTTAGTCGATATGCGGTGGACGCTGAAATGTGTATCATATCTGTCAATAACTAAACACATTCCTAATATGTAAGCTAAAGTTGTACTATCGTTAAAAACAAATTTTCTACTACAAGCTTACGTTGTTTGTTTCTTTGTCTGTTGTTCGCTGATATTTATCAATGTTTTATTAATAAATTTTACATGATGAAACTCTGTCACTAGATCCATAGCGTTGAAAGTAATTGTTTCTTCTGGTTTTTTCGTATCAAACCACACTAATAAACGATTAAATCTTTCAACAAGAAATTTTATTGAATCTTGTAATTGTTCTTCATCAGATGTACTATTTGTTATATTATTGACACTTTGCAATGGTGGTAGTTGAGCCATATTTCCAAATTGATCAATACCCAAATGATCTAATAAATCATTTTGTTCATTAATTGTATCCAATTCTGAATAGGCGGCTCCTCGACGTTGAGTCTGAGTTTGTTGTAATCCACTATTTGCATTCACCAATGGCTTTGATGGCTGTTGTCGTGAATTATGTAATATAATATCGACAGCTTCAAGATTTGCTTTTAGTTCTTTAAATGCTAATTCAAACATGTATTTAGTAAATTTGAATTTCATCGCTTCGCGAGCACAATCTTCAATATTATGAGCTAAAAATAATAAATACAAAATTAGTTTATTGAGTTCAACAAGTCAAACAGATGTTAATCTCTAATCTTTCTACAATAGGTAGACTAAATATTATCAGTTTTTATTTGATATTTGAAGATACAAAACAACAATTGCTATTGTAAGCAAATGAACACACCTTCATCAATGATAACAATTGAATTATTCACATTTAGATTCATTGCATTTCTTATTCTTGGATCGACAACATAATTATATGGACAAAACACAATTTGTACAAGAGAACCAGAATCAATTAACATTCGACTCGTATAATATGGACATATTCCATGAGTTTGTTGACAATATTCTAAAAAATCTTCAATATCAAATAATTTTGGTAATTGATTATGTTTATTTCCTTTCAATAGATCACCAACAGCTTTTGTTTTTAATCGTGAATAAAAACTACAACCGCCATTCGATGATTGCTGATTTTCTTTTGTATTAATCAACTTTTTACATTCATAATTTTTATTTGGCTGTTTTGACACTATTGGATGAATACAATATTGTTGTCTCGATGCTAATAGTGTCATGCGTACTTTCTCATTATACACGGTTGTTTTCAATTGCCTAACAACTTGTTCTAATTGTTTATGTGTTCGAGTACAATAAATTATTCTTGAAACTGGTTCTGGTTTAGATGGTTCACTTGGCGGTGGTAAAGGTACTGATGTTGGCATTTCTTGTTTTATTGACGCATCGACTAATGGTGGTAGTGTTATCGTTACTTGTTTAGCTTGCTCAATTTCATTTTGTTGCCAAGCTAGTGCAGCACATAATAACGTTAACGTTTTTCTAAAATGAAAAAAAATTATTCTTATAACAATTTTGACACATTTTCCACGAAGAAGTTACACGCAAACATCTTTATTCTAGTGTCCGTCTGATACTTCTCATCATTTTACACTTATTTGAAGATAATTCCAGTACACGAGTTTCGTCAAATTAATGAATGACTTTTGTAAAGTCCATTAAGGATCCTCCTCCTCAGAAACTATCTCCGACACCGTACATCCGATCTTGACGAAACTTTCCATAAATGTTAAAAAATTTTTTGTCTCCAAGTCTTACGGTTTAGAAGTTTTCCAGAGATCAAGGTTCAAAAAGGGCCCTACCAAGATTTTTTAATATACTTTAAGTTGAAGAGTTCCGGTTTGTTTTATTTAAACTAGAAACCTAACTACATGGACTGACCAATCAATTTTAGGACTCCTAGGAAAATTCTAGGAAAATTTGCTCAGAATTCTCGAAAAAACACTTTTGTAATCAAAAGGGATACAGATTCTGGAAGTAGACACTTCAGGCTATCTTTCTATGTGTATATCTCAAAACCGACTTTTTGACCGAAAATCATCATTTCTGAGAGGGAAGGCCCTTAAGGGTATTTCCTCTCTTTTTTTACCCTCTTGAACACGGAAGAAGCTGATGTTTGATTGGGTTGAAATTTATACCAGGGATAGAACATCGAAAAGAAAATTGATGTATTTTTGCTCAGAATTTTCTGACATGTTCTTCTATGGATTTTCTGAAAAACGCTAGTTTTCATCCAGTCACATTATGAGTCCTCGAAAAAATGGTTCGATCGAACTTAAAATTCTACCACAGATAGTTTAGATCCTATTTCAGGCTCGTTTTTTTCTTTTCGAAAACTATGCTTTCCTTCTCGAGATATTCGAAAATACTAAAACTATTACATAAAAAAACCCTTCTCATACCAAAAGTTGAAAGCGAAAACACTTAAAAAAACGAACATCAGATAGGGTATAAAGTATCTGTGCAAAAAATTTCAGCTCGAGCGGACCATTTTTTCGAGTGGTCGTAATGTAACTGGATTTAAGGGACTATCAAAAAAACACATATTGTACTCTGCTTCTCAGGGCATTGGTCGTGATATTTATATCTCCACGAAAACTCATCAGAAAATTCTGGAAGACGTCTCATTTTGAAGAGCACACTTTCTTCTATCATGTTATCTATAAGAAAAACTTTTGAATATATAAGAAAGGAGAAAAAAATTTTACGAAACTAAAAATTTGAGATTTTCTAGGTTTTGACGGAAAAACTTCATAATTTTTTCAAGAAAGGTCGTAAAGAGCTGGCAGTTGTCTCATTTTATAGCCTAGACTTGTCTCTACATTACACTATGTTCAGCTGAAAATGAAAAGTTTTTTACAAAACAGAGGGGGAGGATGTACTCTTAAGCAATCTACCCGTTATCAATGATGTAGTTTATCCAAGGGTGGGCCATAGTCTACCCTTTAGAAATTCCTATTTCACAATCGCATTTAAAAAAATATCTTTGATTGAATTCAAAAGGAAAATTAGTAGTAGAGTTCGAAGGCAACGAATTTCGAATAAGTTTAAGGATAATGCAGTGGATCTTATACAATATTTCGACCTCTTTTTAAACGCTCATTTACAAAATACTAACGATGCTAAAACTGACTTTAAAAGCATAAATATTTATGATGAAAAGGACATTACATAGAAATATTTGTTTATTTCACAGAGATGAAATAATGCTTAAAACCAAGACAGTAACAAATAAACGCTTTCGAATTCTACGTCTCTAATCGTACATTGAGTTAAACTATTATCACTGTAACATATAAAGAGAAAATATTTATATATAAACATACCCAGTACCGGTTGGACTTTCGAGTAAACAATTTTTCCTTGATTGTAAACCTTTGATTATTTTTTGGAGCATGGCTATTTGGCATGGATATGGTTTGTATGGGAAAATGACATCTATACCACACATATGCATAGTTGTTTGGTCCATTGTTTGGTGTTTATTTTGAGGAACCAAATCTATCGGTATCTAAAAGTAATACGTCTCTATTGAGAATAAATATAAAAATGAATGATTAATAATTTAGAAAACATATACGTAAAAGAAGATATAAAATAACTACTTTCATTTAACGTAAAATTTTATTAACACCACACAACTACGTATATGAAACAATCTATGATAGAATAAAAGCAGAACATCAATGACTAGTGTATCTGTGTAAAGAGCGAGAAAGTGATCGATTTGTCTAACATTAAAACTGAAAAATTTATCACAAAAAGTACAAACAAACTTTATACAAAAGTATTTTCAAACATTACAACAAAGCAATAAAAATTACAAAGAATACAAATATCGGACAGATTTTTCCAACAAAGAAAAAGAAGAAAATCAAAACATAATCGACTTTGTCAATACAAATTAATGTAAATATGCGGGATATGGGTGAAAGCATGTAAAACAAAATGTTAACATAATACAAGAAAATACACCATTATAAGATGGATCAGAAATTCTGAAGTACTTTTCTATTAAATTTTTATCCATACTGAAATTTAATATTTAATTTAGAAGAAAGAGAATTTAATTCTCTAGGAAACTGTTCATTTTCTTTTGAAATTATTTTCAAAATTGCAGCAAAATATTCAGATATTAAAATAATCTAATTTTGTAAACGATACAGAATAAACTACTGATCTCTCAATTCAACTTTGAGATAAATATTTTAACGTCAAAAAATGGTGAAGTTTACGCTGTACAATCTGACATTATTTGTGTTAAATGATTATTCGTTTTTGCGAGAAAGAAAACCCGAAATTGACTGATTTACGTAGAGAATCCATATTCTCGGTATTTTGTTCACAAATTCAAAATTTAAAATTATACATTTTATAGCAGAAGATGCAAAACTTCTCACTTTACAACATCACATACATCAGAAAATAAAATTCTAAATTTAATTTTAAAAGTATAAAATAATATTAGATGCTACTAAAAATGAATCCTTCTCGACTCCTAAGAAACTTTCGTGAAAACCTCTTCCGAGAGCCACTTTGATTTAGAAGGATTTTGCTTTGTCACATGAAGTATGGAAATTTGCACAGAAATTCGCTCTGAATTTAACGGTGTATTGTGTTTGATTTAATAAATCTTTTTTAGTCAGATACGCTAAGAAGAACTCCCTAATTCGATAGGTGATCAGTTTTAGTATTTTTATTTCTACACTGACGATTCAAAATTAATTTCAAAACAAAATTAACAGTTTCCTAGAGAATTAAATTCTCTATCTTTTAAGTTATATATTCAATTATTAAACGCAATTCAATATGAATAAAACTTTAATCGAAAAGTACTTCAGGACTTCTGGTCCATCCTCTATATGTACAAATAATACATTCAATTCAATGTATTATCTAACTTTTTTTCTGCAGGATAACGACTGAAAATTTCAAGAAGGCAAGGATTCTAATCGACTTTTGTTTATTTTTCATAGGTAACCTTCTAGCATCTTTTTTTTATTCGTTACCTTTTCCAAGTAACTGATTTTCATTTCTTCCACACAGCGCACCTTATCTCTTTTTCCCACTCTTTGCATGTATAGAAATTTCACAAAAATATCATTTGATTATAGCTGCTATATCCTCAATTTTACTAAAACGATCAAGGTAATTCCAGATGAACAGTGCCTCCTGGTCTCCCTCTAGATAAAATACTGATTCAGTTATTGGATTTTAGACGATAAATAAGTGTCAAATCACCACCACCTTTCCACAGAAAGTGTTTCACTGTACGCAAATCCATGTTTAAATCTAAGATCTAAATTAGAATAAACTGCGTGTTATAAGAGTTATTCGGACAAACATGACAAAGAAAGTATTGCTGCGTACAAAAGTACTAGTTTTAAAACTATATAATTTTACTTTATAATGAAATTCGTTGAGGCAAAATTCACTCTTAGTAATATTAGAAGAAGTATGAAGAGACTTATCATATAATCTTAGTTATACAATATTCTTCTTTCAAATGTACACAAACCTGTTCTTGACATAACAATTCAATATGATCAATACTTTTGCTAATATCTGCTTCCCGTTGTTCGTTGCTTTCATGATCTAAAAAATTATGTAGACAAATTACATTAGTTATGAACAAAGCATAATTAAGAATGTTTCTCTTACTGCTCGCTCCATTTGTTCCACCATAAGGAAGTGATGCTTGCTGGGGTTGTTGCATTTGTTGTTGTTGTTGTTGTTCATTAAGAATATATCGTTCATAGATATATTCAATCACTTTTTTAACCAACATCATGTCACTGGCAGATAAACGGTCTCTTCAAGAAAAGTTCATAAGAAATTTCTACATTTTAATATACTTTTAAGTGTCATGTCATTTCAGCAGCTCCAAAGAAAACAGCGATGCATCTTCGGAATATTATATTGCTCAATTCACGTGTAAGCGATCGGCAGTTCACATACCTTTTAATAGCTTTATTGTTGATCTGTTGATGTAGTACAAAAGGAATTTTTGTCAGTAGAGGAAGTTGATGCTGTTAATGATAAAAGAAAAAGTTCAGTTGAGTGAATTATATTTATTTAGTGGATATATTTACTTTCACAATAACATTTGTTATGAACGCTGGTAAAAATTCACAGAGGAAACCTTGCTCAGGTTCTCCGGCTGCTTCTTTACACTGAAAACGATATAATGTCCGGCCTCCAATTTCACTAGAAGCAATGTTAAAACTATCATTAAACAGAAGGAAAAAAAAATCTAAGTATTATAACCTCACCTAATAAATATTGGTGTATGACCTAAACAAGAAAGCAAACATTTAAAAAAGGATAAATTTAAAGTAAGTTCTTTTATTTGTTCACTTACCCGGTATATGTGACATATTCTCTAATCGTACACGTTCAGCATAAGCATCATTCGTTCCTTTGGAAATCAAAGAATAATAATTATTGATCTGAGTATGTTTCATATTTGTTAGCATATAGTACCGAGAGCTTGACGTGTGATTGGCCAATGTTCAAACAATGAATGAAGCATGAGAATACCGTAATTTTCTAAAATTTAAACCATGTTTATTGTGGATATTTTACTTTGATATTTATAAATATTTGACTACCTTTAGCATCATTTGATTCTCCGTCATTATCTTTCACCGATATCCAAGCAGAAAACACATCACTTTCTTCTAGTGTTATTGTTAATATCTGAGTATCCAAATAAATGAATGATAATAAATATAGTAAAAAACTGATCAGCTGTTTGTTACTTACGCCAACTTTGAGATCAACACTAAACCAATTTGGAACAAATACAGGCTTTGTACGGTTTTTAATTTCTTCTTCATAATCAACTTTACCAAGATTTTCTGTTAATTTAGCCTGTCAAAAACATGAAGCAAATAAACATCAAATATAAAAAAAACTAAAAAATTCTTTTTAAAAAGAGACTTTATTCACATTGCTTTTATATTGTTTCTCATTCGACTGCTGGACGAATTCTACTGAAGAAGAGGACCCTTTTCTTCTTCGACATTAAAGCAAAACATTTACAAGAAACTGATATCGCATACATTACATCTAACCATAATACTACTGTTTTCGCCATAAAAAAATCTTACCTGTAATACATCGTAGACGGCAACGTTGTTATTCGAGTCTTTTGTTATTATATAACGTTTGTCAGATAGAATATTGTATTGTTTTAAAGCAGCACCACCTGAAAGACAAATAGATATCATTTGATAATGTTATCAAAAACATTGTTCTTATTTTTCTTCACCCACCTTGTATGGTGATATCTGGATATTTGCAAATAACTTCTGTTTCATAATACGTGTCTTGACTCACAGCTGATAGACTATCTTTTACATTCTAAATAAAAATAAATCTTATAATAAAACATAAGAATTGACGTACATGGTTATACACACCCAACACCGAACATTTGATTCGGTTGTAGATATCCACAGTTGTTGTTGATCTTTTCCAAGTTCAACCTAAACGTGTAAAATAACATTTAAAACATATAAGTATCTGTCTATTAATGTACAGTCGATAGTGAGCTGCGTAGAGCTACTGAGGTATCAGAATAAGGGTATATGTACTTCTTTGAGCTAACATTCAACTATTTCCGATCCCATGAGTATCTACGCCATTTTTATTCTATTCTCTTTACAACTGTTCCTGTACAAACAAGAAATCACTTCCATCGGAGAGGATTGTCTTTTAATCAAGTATGCAGCTGATATTTGATATTATTTTCTATATGTAATTTGTTCTTACAAGCAATGTGTTTATATTCGAGCTCGAAGACAAGTGTAAATAAATAAATTTAAACATTACTCTTAAAATCGGTTCATTTTCTTGACAAACACACACACTTCGGTTTGGGTCAGTTAAATCTGTTAGATAAACACGACGATCACGTCCTCCAGAATATAGTTTTGTAAATGAATCATTGGCCTAGAACAGTCCCCTTTTGCACATGATTATTTGTTACATATACATAAAATGTTCTTACACATAATGTCCAGACAGCATCAGAATGAATATCAAGTTTTGTAATACAACGCTGTTGTCCAATTGACCATATTCGAATATGTCCGTCCGAACTACCTGATATACACTATTTGTTTGAATAGACAATAAAATGAAAATAGTCACAGAAAACAAATTCTGTACATTCATTTATTACCTGCGTTCCATCCCTACTCAACAGTAATGCACGAATATTATCTGTATGACCACGTAGTTTCATAAGCCTTGTACATGTTCTTGGATCCCATACACGTATGACATTTTCAGGTGAACCGCTCACCTAAAAGATCATTTTTGTAATATATTTACTATACACAAAAAAAGTATATTGTCACTGACCAAAACGCTAGCGTACGAATTCATTGCTAGACTATAGACAGAATTTTCATTTCCAGTAAACGTCGATGCTTAAAAGAATAAATAAGCACAAAGTTAATGACTGAGATTATCATAGAGAAAGCGAACTTACTTGTAACGGTATTATTAACAGCTGTCAAAGCCGTCAATACATTTATATCCCACAAGAAAATATTGTTGTCAAAACCACCGCTTGCAACCTTTAAAACAGGGAGAGTATGTATGTTTTTACTTATAACTGATCTGTTCTAAAATCTCACTTGTTCTTTGTCTTTTGCATATGCAAGACATTTGACAAAATCTTTGTGAGTTCTTAATGTCGACATACAAACACCTTTTGGTGCGTTCCAAACTTTAATTGTAGAATCACTGGACGCAGATAACACTTAAGAGTAAAAAAGACTAGTTACAGCATTGTATTATGCTAAACAATTTATACATACTATGTTTTCCAAAATTGACAACAACACAATCATTTACCCTAAAACACATCCGGAGAAATATAGATAAACTAACGCGGGATGTTTATTAAATTAACTAACCAATCTGTATGATGTTCCATTGAATAGTCGTACATATCTGACTAAAATAGAATTATAAAAGTGAAAAAGATAGATGAGACAGTCAGGTCTTACTCCATATCGTTTGCAATCGAATGCACGTATAACGGAATCACGACCAGCTGTATAGAGTCTGTCAGTTTTTGCATCATATTTCAATGAATTAATCCCGCCACGATGTAAACGTTCATTTTCATTACGTATCAAAAATGAAAGCTATAACACCAAACAAAAAATAATGTATGATAAGGTGGATAAAGTGTGCTGTTACCTCACTAACATACCTGTACACGTTTTTTTTGCATTTTATATTATGCGTCCATTTTCATCTCTAGGAGTAATTGTCTTGCATATTTACTAATCACAATAATCTGCAAAAAAATGTTCAAGTTAGTTTCAAAATGTTCCAAGTCATTCTCTCAGTCTATGATAGAATAGCGGCAGACTGGATTAAAGTGGAATTAAAACATATGTTAAATAACTCCCACATGAAAAAAGCAAATAGAAATTGGCATCAAGTTAAAAGTCACTTTTCTTAGCATCAGACAGGTAGAAGAGTAATTGATATTACAATGTGTACGGTGCACAATATTGATCATAAAACCCATATGATAAGTAAATCACGAAAAACTGGTAAAAAGTTTCATCCCCGAAGAACTAATTAGCAAAAAACCATAACAAAAGTCATCAAAGTAGAAGAGACAGCAAAACTCTTTATTGAAAAGATTCTCTCTTCTTGCAGCATGAAAATAATAAATCATTGTCATGTAGACAAAAACAATGAAGAAATTTATCGTTCATTCTAGTTTCTCTCTTAATCTTCTATGTACAAAGTCAAGTGTAACATAGCAAATTCCAAGTCTGTTCAGACATTGAAATATAATACCACGTTTTTATTTTGAATTACGATTGTTTATGATCATTTTCATCCTCATTTGATGATGAGCTATTATTTCTAGTTCTTATATGTTTTCGATTAATGCCATTTGTTTCGAGAGTCGATGAAGTTGATTTTTCGACAGTATTAATCGATGGCGGTAATGCTGTTGGTGTGGTAACCTCTTCATTGACATTTTGCTCGGATAACGACTCCTGAGTAGGTCCATTCGAATTTGTTTGCTCACTCTTCTCGTCGTCAGCTGTACTATGTTCATTTTCACTTTCGCTTGATTCGGTACTATTGCTATCTTTTGTTTTAGACCCGGAAGAATTTTTCGGCTTTTTCTGACGCCCTTTCTGCTTTAGTCTAAAATATGAGTTTAAAAAATTTAAGCATAAAAGTCAAAACGTATTTTTATGTTTTTTATCTCAAAAACATAAATCAGAGTTACTATTAACCTTATCAAAGGTGCAGAACCTACCCGTAAATTTGAAATTTTCTACGAACGGTGAAAGTTTTGGAAAAGTTCCACATTTGAAATTTAGAAAAGGCTTTTATCGATTTAGTTCTTAAATTTCTTAAATCTTTCTATGTGGAAAAATTCCAAACGCCCGTACACGTACATGGGTAGATTCTGCACCTCTGAACCTTATCAATCTATCGTTTACCCCCAATAACTACGTTTCGCACTGCGTTTTGTTTGATAACTGCAAGAAATAATGTCTTACCTTTTCTTTCGTTTTTTTGCTGTTTTCAATTCCAGTTGTGTCTGATTTTTTTCAATCTTTTTTTGGAAAGCATCATCCAACGCACGCTAACAATATAAAAATAGTTTCTTAAAAGTTAAGTTTCTTTAATACATTAGTATTATAAGTACCTCTTTTGCTTCGCGCGTCTTAAATGCTTCTCGAATCAATTGCCGACGACGGCAACCCCGATAAATATCAAATTCGCCAGAACCAGCACCCGCACTAGCCCCTTAAATCAGAGAAAACAAGCTATCAACCATGTTGAGCATTTCGATGAAAATGCCGATATTTACCCATAACATTTCGAACAAACTCGTGTGGTTGAAAAGCACGGGGTTGACGAAGATCTTTTTTCTCCGGAATAAATACAGGTTTGGCTACATTATCCATTAACCGATCTAATCTTGCTCGTTGAATTTCAGTGGCTGTTTTCAGAATAACCTTTGAACGTCTTCTGTCTTCTTCATCAGACGACATGTTTGACGAATTGATCAGATCTAGAGTTAAAGAAAAGAGTTTACTTTATTAGCTACATAATACACATCCCGTGAACTCAGAATAAGAGAAAAACTCGACTTATGATTAATAAATCGGACTATCATTACTTGAGCTAATGTGTACTGTTTAATTTGACATAAAATGAGTTCGGAAAAAATGAATTCATCATCTTGAACTCTTCAGCGTTAACATTGGTCTTATCACACACAAATAGAAATTTGAGGAATATAGATGGCGCATTCACACAGAACGATAAAAATGTGACAATCTGCAGGTGACGATAAGTTCCAACAGTATTCTAATAGGACTTTCTCCTCAACTTTATTTCATTTTGTTCTCCAGATTGCTGCGACCAACAGAACAACAAAGAGCGCTCTTTGTTTAAATCATAAATGTTTGTTGGTCTGAAAGTCGTAGAAGCTGTTTTAAAATGCAGACTTTACCGATTATTCTTATCAGCGGTCATCATGATATAATAATAATAGCTATACTAGGACTGTCACAAGGATCAAAACAATTTACCAAGAAGACACCAAAAAAATCGAACATTTCGAATTATTATTTTGACTGTATGTGTTTTCTTGACAAAAAATATTTAAATCAATTCTATTCGATCGAAATTTGATCAGATGTAAAAATATCACTTTTATTTCAAATTGGCGTGTTTGTCTTTCGTAGTTAGATGAAAAAAGTGGTAGTATACGCAGGGTCTGTCAAGTTGATGAAAATGTTGAAGATTTTTGAAAAAGAAAAGAGTGAACAATTTGTTGCATATCCTTTATTTCATAATTATACGTTTTAGTCTAATAGAAACACTTACCTATCCAAGGGTAATAATACCTACAACCAAACCCAAACATGAAGTTTTTATTATACATTCTGCTGAAAGAAATCCATGGTATCATGGTAATCCGTTTTTGATAAAAAACTCAAATAAAGTTTTTAAAATGATACATTATTATGTATCGGTATGTGTGAAAACAACATGTTTTTGATAAAAGTAATGAAACTAGTTAAACAAAAGACAATATCATTATAACATTACTAATCAATGCTTATTGAACTAACGAAGGGACACCGTGAGATAATACCCTCCATTTTCAATAATTTATGTGCCGATCAATAGAGGAGAGTGAGCTAGTAGAAACCCTCAAAGCATTTTAGCTCATAGCACTTCAAAAGTTATGAGTTTTTTTGTTTTCTTGCCCTAGGAGGCCCAAAAATACTAAAAATTCCGTGACTCAGCCAAAACAAGAAACTAAGGGCTGAAATTTTTTCCTACTATTGTAGTAGCATTTTGTTATTATCTTAGAAAATTTTAGCTTTTCATTGCAACCTGAGTTAAAGTTATTGAATTTTTCCTTTCTTAAGGAAAACCATGTGATTTCTAATTAGTACTTTCCTTCTTAACTCATATTTCTTTTAGTCTGATGCAATCGTATGTGTTTCTGTATTTGTTTTTCCCAACGACGGAAAATTTCGATAACTTCAGCTCTGGTTGGAATGAAAAGCTAAAACCTTCTATAATAACAACAGACTACTAGCGCAATAGTAGGAAAAAATTTCAGCCCTTAGTTTCTTGTTTTGGCTGAGTAACGGAATTTTTAGTATTTTTGCGCCTCTAATACATAGTGCCAACATCTAATACATTAACACTATTGCAATTTTGAACAAAATCTATAGTAGAAAAGAAACTTCTCAAGTGGAAAACTGCTCATAAACAGCAATTCCACATACCTCTGGCAACATTCAACTTCAAGTTTTCATGTTCAAGTGTTTATTCAGTTAGAAATGAAAACTTACTTAGGGTTATCTTTCATATTCGGTAGCAGGTAATTGCGTTTATATGACAATTTCAACTTCATAAAAGTGGAAAATTCCACACTCTCTATAGACGACTTTATACTGTTAACACTACACTATACGCAGTTTGCTTAGATATTACTGTTTTAACTAAGAGCTGAACGAAAGAAACAGTTCAGGCTCTATTACTGTTCTTTTATCTCCAAAAGTCAATTATGAATGCATTGTTTACTTTATTTTTTTCAACACAACTGAAACAATTAATAAATGTAACAACAATAATGAATAAAAGCAACGATCTTTTTCATATTCGGTCAATTTGTTGTTATTGTAGTTGTTTTTGTTATGGTTCTTTCTTGTCTAAGCGTTACGTTGATGTGCTTCTTTTTGTTTAATTTTTTCCAATTTATTGATTCTTGCTTGCGATTTTGAACCCAATACACCTAGAGAAAAAGAGAAAGAATGGATAAATTCAACTAGTAAAGAGCATACTAAAAAAATACTTACCACCACCCCAATGACGTCTTAATTCATCGTATCTTTCATTGAAATTTGTTTTAATTGCTTCAACGATTTTGCTCAATCCACTCTTATCGTCTATGTTAACATCGGTTAATGCTAGTGATGAACACGTTTTTAAATGGACTAATTTTCCAAGACGTGCTTTTCCTTTAACAATACAATAGGGTATGCCCATTTTTCGGCATAGCGCTGGTAAGTGTAAAACTAACTCAACTGGTTCAACATCATGCGCAATTATAACTAATTGTGCCCTTTTCTTTTCAACTAATGTCGTTACCGTATTCATACCACTACGAAGCACAGGTGGACGTTTTGTTGGACGATCCGGCTTACCACTTTTAACTTGTGTTTCAGCACGTTGTTTTAAACGCCGACGTTTTTCAATACGTGATTCGGGACGATATTTATCTAATAATTTAAATAATTGTGTTGCTGTTTGTTTATCTAATGCTTGTGTAAATTGATTAATGGGTGGTGGAACTTTCAAACGCTTTAATAATATACTACGTTTGCGTTGAACACGAATATATAATGGCCATTTAACAAATCGAGTTAAGTCTCTAAAAATAAACGGAAGAAAAAAAAAATTTTTTGCTGTTAAAACCTTCCGCGAACCATTCTGTTGCCGATGTTTGTAATGCTTTATTATTTCTGAACTTACCTTTTCGGTTGAATATCTTGACCAATACCGAAATTTTTTGGACGTTTTTCAAATAATGGATTAACAACTTTCTTTGCTTCAATTTTTGATTTCAATGGTGCTGCTGCTATTTTCTTTTTGCCCTTTTTCAATGTGTTACCCCTCGACGCAGTTGTTGTGGTAGTAGTTTTTGTTGTAGTTGTTGTTTTTACTGGTTTTTTAGCACCACTGCTACTTGCAGAGGCAGGCGACATTTTTACAAATTACGAATTGATATTTGATCTGAAAACAAGAAATTGATAACAGTTACACATATATCCAGGTCTACTAAGAGAAAGTTGAAATTCATAGCTTTTCAAGCAAAACTGACAAGAGAAGTCTACCAGTTTAGAAGCAGACATATTTGGATCGAATTCCTGTTGAGATGCATCTTAAAAACTCTAATGAACTGGTTCACTCGCTTATAGAAGCAACATGATTCAGAAACGATCTTTGATATGAGATGTAGAGGAATAATAATTTGGTACAGACGCTATAAAAAGAAATCGTTTATGTCTAAATACTCTAATAATTTTAATCGACGTTCAAAATTGAAACAACTGTGAGACTAGAAGAAAAGAATTCAATACTTACAAACAAATATCATAGCATTTGATGAATATTTACAGGGTATATATTAGCTCATGAAACACCTTATCGAACATATTTCATTACTTGTCTATTAATATTTAACATAGTTTCGTAATTAATGCAGAAACTAGACATAATATGTCCAGTTATATAAAATGAACACCTTGTATCTGACGCACAGCAATAATATTCATCACCCGTATCAAATAAACATAAATCTTTATCAGATATTTGTCTACCGTTTGCAGCGTCGATATAACTCATGTAATACAACACTTAACTATTCTCGCAGCGTAAATGCATATATGCAATATCACATAGTACTATGACAACAATAAAAACGGATAAACACAAGATAAACCAGATTAAAATAGAATAAAAGACAAGAAAAATAAATAAAGCTATCATGGTAGACTATTGCAACTGGCTGCTAAACTTATGGTACAAGATACTGAGATAGGGCATTTTTGAAACACAAGGCTTCATAGATATAAGCAACAGAGTAATCAAGGAATATCATCAAGACGAAGATTAGAAATACTTCTTAAAAAAAACTGTCACTCTCCGAATAAGGTAAAAATAAAAGAGAGATTTGTTTCTCAAAATTCCATAAGCAAGATGATCAACGCTTAAGCATTGTTCTTAGCTACAGAACGTCACCAAACGCAGAGACAGTAATGTAAATTAAAAATGACATGACGCGCACTACGAAACTACTTTGCTTACCCCATTTCTCCATTGATTGATTAATTCTTTGAGCCAATTATTTTCACAAAATGGCTAGTTACCTCCGCGTAAATAGTCACAAATAATTCTTGAATGTATACAAGTACAACCTAGTGAAATCTATTTGGGTTGAAAACGTCTTTTAACACTATAAAGATCTGCAGTCTACTTTTGCGACATCTATCTCGCGTTATGTCATTGAGTATATTCATTTCTTCTATTGTTCCATATTATGGTCTCTGCCACATTATAGTCCTGCGAAATTTTGCAGTAACAACAACAAGAAGGCTATTGGCGTTCTTACCAGGCTTCGAAATTCTGCAGATTTTCTAGAGTGTATCAATCTCCCATTCAAGGGTGCTTTCTGGCAATGGATACTCATGTCTTGGATATCAGCAAAATACCGCAGTATACTGTCCGGTTCTAAAAGAAGATACCGTTCGGTATACTGGCAGTTAACCGTACGATGTTTTTTAAATACTGCCAGTAGAACGAATATGGTAGTTTTTCAATTTATTTGTAGGTGGCCGACAAATAGAGCTAACAGTCAAGCATCCTAGGACTGTCTTCATTATGTAGGTCGAGTCAAAGTTCATGTACTTCGACCACTCAGGAACAGAAAACTTGCAACTTCTATGATTTTTTGTTATCTTGTATATTTCTCTAACCAACAATACAAAAACGTAAAGAATTTTGAAACGGTATATAATAAGCGATATTCTCCACAACATGAACGTGGCGTGAAGAAGACCATTCGATATACCGAGCGGTTTTAGAACTACTTTTTCCCATTTAAAAGATCTGACGATTTTTGATTATTACTTGAAAGTATCTGTTATTCTTACGATTGCGTTAGGGCACTAGAAGTTATTTATGTACAGCAGAAGAACAGCGGGCCGAAATTGCTGTGTACTTTCTCTGACTCTGTGTTAATATTAACTTTGCCTTTCCAGATACAGATTGTGACCTGATGAAAGCATCGTCTGGTAGACGAAAACATTAAAAATTGATTGCAGTAAGAAGCATTCGAAGAAAAGTCCAAGTAAAACATGGTGCAATCAAGCGTAACGAGCTAAAAACCTTCTGCAAAGCTAGAGATCAATTAGACATGAGTTTCTCCAGGTATACGCTTGAGAAAAAAAACTTCAATAGGGCGCAGGTCGAAGCAGTTTTCCTCGTCAAAAAAACTTGAAAACTGCGGTTCTTATCATTCCAATAATGTGGTAAAACTTGTGCAGGAACGTGGCTCTGGGCGGTTTAAAAAAGAAAACGGTTTGAAAGATGGACCGTTTTCGGTGCGATTCTTTTCGGTCCAAAGCGGCTAATATGACCGAAAACTCCGTTTCAGAGCGTTTTTTCTGCTGAAGAAAAAACTGCTTCGACCGCTTTTTTTGGCGGTTTTTCTATAGAAATTTCGTCTATGGGCTGTACTACCTGCCTGCATCAAATTATCTCAAGGCAGGGATCGATTCACCAACCAGTTGTGTTTTTGGAGTCAAATACCTCAATGTGAAAAATAGAAAATAAGAAAATTTTCTTTACATTTCTGTACGACCACTGCTAAAGGAAGGTAAAACCTTCTAATCAATATAATAGAACAACTTTTCAATATTATTTTCCCAGTTATTATGATGTAGATTCCTTTCATACACTGTAAAATGTCGTATTTCTTCCTTTAAATGTATAAAAATGTAGTTTAGTGGTAGTAGAAAACTGATTTTGTAAAAAGAAAAAAGAACTCGTGAGAAAAAACACACAAACAACAATTTTAACACAAAAACGTATCAACGGCTAAATTTGTCTTGACAGTAGATGTGTGTTGATTTTTGTATAATTTAATAAAAATAAAAACGATCAATTCGATTTAATTTCTAGGCATTAAAAACTATCATAAGAAAATATAAAATAATTTCATGAACATGAATGAATTGTATTTTCATTCATATTTAACGGTTCAATTAGTAATACACCACTATTCGGAGATAAGTTGCTATTACTTTTTGAGCGTATATTTTTTGTACTTAAAAAATCTGACGATTTTTGATTATCACTTGAAACTATCTGTTGTTCTTGCGATTGTTGCTGTTGTGACGGCGTAGTGACACAAAGTGGTGTCAAATATTTCCAACCAGAATAAGGAGATTCGACGCTCGAGCCAATACCGCTCGATGAATTTGATCCTGTACTTGGCTGTGCCAATGCACCGTTCGTACTCATATTGTTAGTATTATTACGTAAACCGATTACATTGCATGCATGTAGATCACCACTATTGTTACTGTCACCAATTAATAGTGGACGACTTGAATCATTAGAAGAATGACAAAAACTTCTATCACACAAGTCATGAATAATTTCGCCTGAAATATTATAGAGAAAAAATTGAATATACACCATCTTTCAATTTAATCGATCGCTATACTTACAATTATTTACATTGTTTTGATTTTGTAAATGTTTTTTATCTTTGAACCTTTGACATGTGGCATGTGGTATATGATGATGCAAAAGTTGATGATGAAAATGAGTTTGTGGTGGATGATGATTCGAGTTATTAGCGTTATTTTTATTGTTATTGTCTTTTGTCGATGATTTCAATGGAAATGTATCTGACGTATAATTTTGATTATGAGTTCGATGTATTGGACATGTGCTACGATCACTGTTATAACCAAAAAGACCTGAAAAGAGAAGAAACAGTTGTTTATTAGTGATTCATTCTTGAAATAATTTTTGGATATTTACCATGACTTTGATTATTACACGAATGTTCGTCAAATGGTAATGTACCAAATGGTGTTAAAGTGTGATAAAAATTTTCTTGATTAGCCTAAAAATAAATACATCGTAAAACTAATCATTTTTTTTCCAGTGTAGACATACGCGTTCATCAAGTGGATTAGTATTAATATGCATAGCAGCACTATCCATAACACAATTTGGTGTAATTATATTAGATTGATTTGAATTATGCCATACGATGTGTTGATTGTTATTTGAGGACGGATAAGTGAACGGTATCAATTTTCCTACAAGAAATAAATATTCGATTGATATTTGAAGATATAATAAAAAAGTGTATCTTCTCATACCATCGACCGCAACAACGCCATGGGTCAAACTAGGCGTTAATGCATAGTCAGCAGGATTTAAACCTTTTCGTATTGCATCTTCATAAAATGCTGAACCATTTGTTGATTTGACGTGCGAAACAAATTTTTTATGTTGTCTGTATCTAATTCCACACATAATAATAAGTGTAATTAAGAGTAGAAGTAATACACCAGCGATGGCACCAGTAATCAAGTACAAAAAATCAGAATTTTTTTGTGCTAATGTTAATGACGATGATGTTGATGGAACTGTTGCAGAAGGACTATTATTATCATTTCCATTGATATTTTGTAATTTTGTTATATTTTCCAGAATTTCTTCTAAATCAACTGAAGATGAATCATCATTGTAATTATTTGTATCTGATCGATGATTAATAGATGTTTGTTGATTTGAGACTATTAATTAGAAAAATAGCAAAGATAAATTAGTAATATTTAAATTCGTATATCAAGTGAATTATGTCGAATGAATTATTTGAAACAGAACATTTAATATGCAAACTCACTCGGTGGTATTAGAATTTCCATTGGATTACTCATTTGACTGAATCCACGAGTTGAATATGTTGACATTCGTAGTTCATATTGTTGATTTGGTTCTATTGTTGTGATTGTGTATGTATCAATGGGTGGAAAACGAAGATTTGGTACTGTTATTTTTGTATAGTTGGATTTTGTACGAGAAGGTCGATAAAATATGGCAAATCCATCAATAAGTATTGGTGATGTTGTAGAATTAGTTGGTAACTAAACACATATAAGTAAATGAGTGTTGGTCATAAGATTTAGAGATAAAATAAAATAGTGTTTGTTTACCTGCCACTTTAGTCCAATTGAACCGTCTTGTGATGCCCATGCATCGGTAATACGCGGAATGGGATTATTATTGTTCATATTTGCTGGAGTAGGTTTCACTAAACGATCGCTACTCTCCATATATTTTAATTTTAATTTATGCACAGAACTGGAAACTATTTGTTGACCATGCTGATCAAAGCCCAAAAGTCGAAATTTGTACATATGACCTAAAAATTAGTACACACAGTATAAAATTATATCGTCAATAATTATTCAGTACACAGCATACCATTTTTTAAATTATCGATCATTGCATGTTTAACTGATGAGGAATAATTTTCATTTTTTGTTAACCAATTGCCTTTTGTCAAACAATATTGTGCTTGCAGATAACTCAAATCGGATGCCCCATTAATTTCCCAGAATATATCAACAGCAGCATTACCAGTTTGAACCATATCGACAATTTCTATTTTGACAACTAGAATAAATAATACGAGGAGTAAGACAATGGACAAAATCTCATAGCATTAACAAAGTAATCTACCTCGTTCATAGGATTGTAACGGTAATAACATATTTTCATTATTTTCATTGGATAATTTAGATTCTCGATCTAAAATACAACAAGAATTTTGTATAAAAACCTATAAAAACTACTTTATTTCTTCTTTTTCTTTTAGCAACACTAAAGCTTTAGCACATTTAAACATCTAAAAGCCGTCATTATCAAGATGACATTATGACACACATTTTAGCTTCATATATACAAATATACCAAAACAACATTGAAAGCAGACTAACCCTGCGTTACCAGACCTTGAACATTCACATAACATTTGGCCGATGTTGTTCCAAAACCATCTGATGCAATACACTCATAATGACCACTGTCCGATTTTTGTGCTGATACAATTCTCAAGCCTCCGGATGTCAACATTTCATAACGTCTCATTGAATTTGGATTTATAATCACATTTTCATGTAACCATTGGACGGCAACGCCACGTTTTGTTAAACAATGTAATTGGACAGTTTCTCCTGAAATATGATTTCAATTTCTTTTAAGTCTTTAATTGTGAAAAATAGATCGTATGTTATCTACCTTCATATACCGTCACATTACTTGGGCCGAAAACAATCAAAGAGTGTCGGTGCGCATCGTCATTTATTACTTCTGAAATAAACGAGAATAAAACATTTTCACTCTTAAATGAATTTTAAATGAATATACCTTTATTTTGAGTTTTATTATTTGCCAATATCGGTAGGACAACCAGTGCAGTATTCGCATGTGCCATACCATACAAATTTCGACCGATGCATTGATAGACACCCTGATTTCTTTCTTTAACTTCATTTATCGTCAATGTTCCACCTTAAAAGTAGATAATAATGGTTGGCAAATGGATCTTATTAAACCGATGAATGTGAGCACTTCCAGCTACCTGAGAGAGGCGATCCGTTGAGAGACATTTCTTCACCATTGAATAACCAGGTAATAACTGGTTCTGGTCTACCACGAAAACTACATCGTATATAAACATTTTCTCCATATTGTATCTGAATAAGTGAATCAGGACGTTGTATTAATTTTGGTGGTTCTAAAAAAACCAAAATTTTGATAAGGAGGGCACTTAAAACGAAGAATAACTTTTCTAACATACCAAGAACATCCAACAAAGCTGTATATGCCACATCGGAATATCCGATACTGCTTGAGGCACGGCAAATAAACGATCCTCGATCATCCGAACGAATATCATACAAATATAATGTACCTGTAAAATGAGACAATACTTAACTGAATTCAGAAAATATTTCAATAAAATATGACCGTTTTACCGTGTATGACTTCATTTCGCTTCTCTGGCATAATGTTACTGTATTTTTCCCATTCAACAACAGGTACAGGTGTTCCAGCCACAACACATTCAAGAGAAAAATTATCGCCAACTAGAACACGTGATGCTGCCGGTGGTACATAAACGGGAAACAGTGGTATCCTTTCTTTAGATGCTGTAAAAGACAACAGAGAAATTTTTCTATGAAGTATTGATTATATTGAGATCGTTCTACCTGTTACATGCAAATATATTGTTTTACTACTGTTAACAATTTGACCTGTAATAGAATTTTTAGCTGAACAACGATATTTTCCTGTGTCGGATATTTTCACATTAATGATATGTAAATTACCACTTGGTAATATTTTATAACGACCTAAACAACACATAATAATATAAACAATAAGATAAACTGTATTAAGAAATTTAAAAAATTTAAAACAAAAATTTAAATAAAATTTAAAATTTAAAACAGTCTACTATCATACTTGTATCGTGTTCAATAACAATGCGTCCATCATCAAGCGAAAAGATTGGCACAGGCTTTGGATTACCATTTGGTAATTCACATGGTATCACAGCAATGTTTCCTTCTGTTAGATTCAATGTTGTTACTGGCAAGTTTACAAAAGATTTAAATGGTTCCAGTGCTGAAACAAATACAATCCAATGTTAGATATTGTTCAATGTGTTTTTTCTAGAAGTTACAAGTTAGTTAAATTAATGAAGAGCAGAGTGCTCCAAGATTATCTCTCTAAACATTGACTACAGGAGAAAAACAAATTTTGTGAACATTCCAATTTGATAACACGCTGTTTTCTATACAAAGGCAGTACTTTTTCGTTTATCAGATCATGAAAATATGTCTGTTCATTCAGTGCGAAAGAGTAGCATTATTTGTCTATGAGAGCTTACAGGCACTCCAATGTCACGGAGGTTTATTTGTTCTTTAATTAGCTTCATTAATCACTTCTTATTTTTTTTTCTTGTACAGAAACACACTTCATATAGTCTCAATATATATATTTTCTCTTTAAGCGAGAATCAATTTTTATTCTATTTTCTTTAATAGTGCAACATATCTTCAAGGCTCACATGTTCGTTAGACCTAATTGGCTTTCATTGGTTAATTGATTCATTCTCTTTTTTTTTGACAAACACACAATGAACAGATGGAGTGTCGTTCACTCACATGCTTTTCCTTTTTTATCCAAATCCAATTGTGAAAAGATGATAATAGAACTTCCTTTTTACACGAACAAAAATAGATGGACACTTGACCCTCGAACTCAGTTGAAAATTAACCGTTTCTTATTCTTACTTTATGGCATAGCCTTACTGTGTGATTATAATTAGCCCTTGTTCAAATGAATAACACAGTGAAGGAACGTTCATGGTAAAAATAAGTGTGAATCTTCATCATATCCCGGATGTTTCTATCTCACGCTTATAAATCATGTCTTTCCTTTTCGAACTGAGCTACTGGACAGTTTATGGTTTTGAGAACATGCCAAATGATTTGAAAGATAATAATTATTAAGACAACAAAAAAACCGTTTTCTTGCCGGTCGAAAACTATATGCCGTTGTATCAACAAAAAACTGTTGTATAAACGAAACTGTCATTTCTTGAAATCCTCATGCCACTGTAAAAGGGAATCGGACTGTTGGTGTAATAAAAACGTTAACCAATTAGTTTTCTAGTAAAAATTGCAAGAAAACCTAAAGGAAAATTGAAACCTTTACAACCGACTAGTTCTTTCTTTCTCATTTTGGCTTTTGTGGAGAAATTTTTTAGAATCATCACTGATTTTAGACAGATATCTTTGGAAACATTCATCATTCACAACAGAAGACATTAATCATCTTTGAACCATGATCGTGTGTTGTAATAAGAATTCATAAAGAATAGAATGGAAAAACTATTTGTTGTTCAATCGAGAATGTTAAATCATTTATCAGTAGGTCATTTTTGTTACACGATAATAACATGGTTTCAAATAGTTGCTCTCCCTCATTCTCTCACTATATCATTAGACATAATTAAAATGTAATATGTATAACGCGAACAACAATGAATATGATGAGCCAAAGTAGTAAATAGGTTTGCGTGTATAGAAAACAAAGCATTATATTCCAACTTATAATTAAACCATCGAACAAATTGCATCAAAGACAAAATCAAACAACGTGTAGTGAAAGGGGTGTTATAAACGCTATATAATGATTAGAAATTAGGAGATATGAGTGATTTAGAGGTCATTTTATTTTGTGAATACGTATCCAGTTTTGTTATCATGTCTCCACACACACACACACACATAAAGAAAACCCTAAGGCAAGAAAGGTTTTGTCTAGCTTCACATCCCTTAGACTGTTCTTGACCTTTCTCTTTCTCTCTTACATGTGAGTTACATTTTATCTTCTCATGGGAAATCGCTTCGCCTCCATTCAATTCTATACATATATGAACAATCTTATTATAATGAACAAAAATGATGGTTACTGGTGGTCTAAAGCTATTTATTTTAAAAAGAACTCATAGATGAAAATAGAGTTGATGGTGGTAATGAATATCACTCAATAAGAAAATAAATTTGAGGGTAAACTGTTTGAACAAATATCAAATGAAAATAATCGTATTTAACGAAGTTTTTGTTTCATTTTTATTTTTATTAACATATAAAATGTCTTTTAACTAGGAGACACACAGTTAAACTCTCAAAAAATGCGCAACTGATGTCGTACTAGCAAAATAATAGACCACGTAGTCTAAAATCAAACGATACGATAGTTTTTAGTCCATCACACTATCAATTTTTAAAATGAACATGCAAAAAATTTGTATCCTATTGGTGTACGTTACGGATGTAATGACATTTTATTCACTGTTCATTTTCCTAGTTGCGTCTAACATCTATTAGATATAAAATATTCAATACAAGTCAAATGCATTTCCGGCGATGTGTGTATGTTCAATGTACATAGTAAAAAGCTTACATAATCTTTTACAAAAAGAAAAACATATAGTCACAAAGTGACAAATAGGCTCTACTATTTTTACCCAAATTGGTCAAAATGGTATATGAGCAGTAGTTTATATTAAGTTCTAAAGTTTTCTCTTTTGAAACCCATCTACTATCTTATCTGAATTATAATTGGTATTTCATACATGTTTTATTCAATAAATGAGTATATCATCATTAAAGAACAAGACATGTGCGCGATTTCTCACACTCTCTTTTCTTTTTCTACTAGACTGTTTACATATCATCGATGGACATTCTATTTTGACAACTGCTTTTTATATACTAAGCTTGATTGTCTCTAGCGTACTAAGACTATCATAATAGACAGAGATGTTGTTTTTCCGAAATAAACTATTTAGAAGTTTTATCAAAGAAATATGATAATGATGACTATTGTGGAAGAACAAGAGAAAATAAAACAATATGTTCATTCAATTTCAAAGAAATATTAGCTTTTTCGATCTAAGAATATGTGACGAACTAAGAGATTTCTACCTTCGAGAAGTCTTTCTCGTTTTTTTTCACCACCATCCGATACCAGTCACTGCAGTAATCATTTAGGAGAACATTTTTTGTTTTAGACGCACTGCGACATTTCAGATTTTTCCTCCATAATTTTTTCAACTGAGTTTAACAAGCCAAAAGACAGTATTAAAACATTCGTATTTTCCGCCCAAAACCGCCCAAAACAGAAGTATATAGATAATAAGGGACTGAATACTCTTAGTTTGTAGTCCTTCATGAGGAAGTTGATAATGTTTTTGGTGCTAACAGTTTTTTTTTAAAATTGTTTGCTGTTAACTAGCTTTAGTTCTACACAAAAATACGAGTTCAAATAATACGGTTATACTTGACACAAGAGCTTAGTGTATTCTGTCTCTGAAGATACGAGTCTAATATATTTTATCAATAAAATCAAGAGAGAAAGACTACTTGGATACAAAAGCGTAAATACACTCAAAGGCTACTGTTTCACTATAAGCCCATTTTCTCTTTTTGATTAGAAATATCAAAACTTCAGTAAAAGGTAGGTCATAAAGCCTTCTTTTTTCTTTCTTTCTTTTGTTTATAGTGTATTAACGTTCATACTTGTTTCCATGTTTCTTTTCTTTGAGATGGAACTAAATTTCGTCTATAATAGACCTTTAATGGGTCATGACAGAATTACGCAGAAAGAAAGGTAAAAAAAAATCTTTATCTATCATCATTATTGTTCCAATGGGAGTTCTATATGGACGATAGGTTTGGTATCGAAAAGTAATAAAGTGTCTGGATAGAACAATAGATGACTATACTCTGTTTTAATTAATTGTCCACTTAATGAGCCGAAACTAAAAGGGTTATTGCATCAAATACACACATAGACGGCGATGTTCAATCATCTGTAAGTTATAGATTTATCAATGAAAAAGAAAGAAAAGCTCTTTGCACCCCAATATATAAATAATGATAAATACCACCACAAATCAATACTTCATTTTTTCAGATGTTGATTGAATCATTTTATACTAAAACCTTGCATAATCTAACACAATCTTCTCTTATCTATGGACAATGTAAATTACCTATCGATATGTCAAAATAACCAATTTAAAACTTGACGAAATGAACGAAGAAAGCGTAGAAGAACCAAGCAGCGGGTATTTCGATCAATCGTGCCTTTTTTTAAATCATACTTTGACTGTATTACTCATTAACGTGAATCGAAATTTGCCGTTACATGTCAGTTTTTTGCCGCTATCAGTTCTAAAAATGAGCTTAGATTATTTTCTCTTACATTGGCTCTTATTGCTTCTTAAACATTCATTAATCCATTTTTCTTGACAGATTTGACTTTTTCCTACACCTGACATTCAGATAAGAACATTTCTATAGTGTGTGTGTTTTCATAGGCAACAATAATGACACGACGACATACGATAAGATAGGAGGACAAAAGTTCAAAAGAATAAACAAAAAGAAATGCCGCCGTAGTACAAAAAATAATAATCAATTCATACGTATATAAAGGTAAGAAGAATTAAAAAAAAATAGTGTCGTAAAAATGAGAGAATAGAGAGATTTAACCTTTCTTTTACTTGATTATCACGATTTCCATATATTTACTTACTTGGTAAACTTAATAATGCCGGTTCACTTGCTAATAGACCATATTTCGTTTTAACAACACAAGCGTATTCGCCTGGTTGAGTGTAAGCGGTATCACCGAACTGCGATATACGTAATTCGTTTCCGAATGCTTCAATAACATTTGGTTTTATTTCTATACGTGAGCCAACATGTGTCCAATAGGCAACAGACGATATTTGATTGTCACTTTCACAATATAAACGTGTTTCAGACGATGATGAAATCACCGCCGATTTTGGACGAACACGAACTTGTGGAAGAGCATCTAAATATAAATATTCACATTCTAGAAACAAATAATTTAAGCATTTAGGTCTTGAAAAAGAAATTATAAGACCTAAAAAGAACTAATATCGAACTTTAAAGAGAATAATGAAATGAAATTTCCTTAATTGACCTGTAACTAAATCAGGCTCTCTTGCGCGATCATCGTCTCGCATCTTGATTTTGAACAGTGTATAGATTATTTTCATGTAGATGAATAGCACATGTCTTACATCCATTTGTTGAAATGTAATCATATTTCGATATAAAAACATGATGATGTCACTTCAATTTAATTGATATTGAACGAGATATACCATTGATAGCAAAAGAAAAAGAGAACTTCTCTATTTTGCTTTGTAAAACTTTTGTCAACTAGTAGTCAATGCAATTAATATGTGAGAGAATACTTCAGAGTTCATCGCATGGCCAACTTTCACTGATGGAAAATAGCTGATAAAAATAACCATATTTTTCTCAAATTATAGCAAAATTTTAAGAAAACATGTCTTGTAACTTACCATTTAATGAAAAAAACTGAATAATTATTACAAATCTGAGATATTGTATTGGCGTCATTAGAAGATGATAATATTTTCGTCATTGATTAAAATAAAAATAAATCATATCTAAAATTAAAGAAAGTAGAAATTATTAATTACAATCTTAGTTAAGAGTGAGTAGTGAAAAGCAGATAGATGATTTTATTCTATAAATAGTTTCATCTACAAAGTAGACTAAATGTCTGCCATTTCCGTGATATAAATAATATTAAAAACAAAATAATATGTCATAGTGATTACTGTTCTTAAATTTAACCAAATATTCAACAGTTCAAAAAAGTTTATATCATTTAGTTGTTACTACCTTTATCGACAACAATTTATAACGATTTGTATATGATGTAATTTGACCGGTTAGAAAAAATAAATTTCCATGACACAAAAAAACAGTAGCAGCATACAAAGGTCTATGTGTTCAACCATCAATTTTTTTTTAATGAGATCACATTGTACGAAAATATTTTTCTCCTCCTACTCTAGTACAATAACAAGTGTTGAACAAAATAGTATCAGCTGTGCTGTCAATATTAAGAGTAGGAGTAATATGAGATATATAATTACTGATGATTCGACCGATATGAAGGTGTATGGGTAGATTGTACACAATATTGAATAAAACTCGTACCATCATCTAACACATTCTATTCTTCTTCTTCTCTTTTTTTTTCTCTTCTTTTGTTTATGTTCACATACATACGCGAAGAAGAAAGAATTCAATAAGTCATCATCATTTTTCATTTTTTCGGCATTAGAAACTATCGTCGTCGTCGTCGTCGACGCTCATTTCATGCTTTTGAACATATATACATCCACAATACAGATCATGTGCAGTATAATGTGATGTACCCTTCTTTTTTTTTCTCTGTTCATTAAGCTTGATTGCTTTTCACCAGAAAAAATTCTCTGTTCTTTCTTCACTCTAGACACTTTTGTCGCTCAAGACAATAATTCGTTCTCAGCATTGTGGATATTTGGGAAAAATATTGATACAATATCTAACAATTGTATATGTAATATCGACAGTTATTATTTTTTAATTATCGTATAACTAGTCGTTGACATATTTTTAAAAACTTTCTGTTATCATTTTATAATCTTCGATAGATATCATATTATAGCATATAACATATAGATATATTTACATTGTTCAATACATAGTAAAATCATTATTATAGTACAGTGTATACTGCTAGTCTACACAATCCTGGAAACGTATATTTCCATTGAAATTGAATAGTATGAATTCCTGTCTACTCCTGAGATATTACAAAGTGCACTTTCAATTACTATAAAATTACTCGATAGTTTCTTCAATTATTAAATCCTTTTGTGAGCTCATTCATACAAAAGTGAGTCAACTCATAAGTAAATTCATTTTAATAATAAACACATGCAGAAAAATGACGTATGACATAGGGGATCATATGAAATATCATTCGATAATATTAAACATAGCAGTACGCACAATATTCATCATTCTGTCTGAGACTTATTTAATCAAGTGTTTCTTACTGAGACATTCATGTCCTCTCTATTAAATCTTTTTCACAAGAGGTCACGCAACTGCTACATGCCATGATACGAATAAAAGACAAAAATTTGAATGTTGTTAATAATAATCGTAACACTGACCGATCGTACAATGTCGTTGAGATAGAATTACTTATACACTTGATAATTACCAAGATGAAAATCACAATATGCTAGATGTTTTTTTACACTAATACTGATCCTCCACAAACTCTGATACTCTCACAACTAATAATTGTGGAGAACTAAGGAGAATTAGTAAACAAAAAGTTGATCGCATCTGCATAACTGTGGATGTTAGTCTTCTTGGATTCTATTATTTACGTTATCATATTTTATCACTAAAAAATGAATTGATCATAAGAAAAGTGCAAACATCGAATAATCTAACAGTTATACATACAAATATATTTCTTAAAACAAATTAGTATTTCATTCTATCATTCGATTTATCAAATATTCTTTCTCCAATTTTTAAAAGACAAATTGTCAAATAAGAAAGAAGAGAGAAGGCGTTACTAACGATGTATTCATTAATATAAAGGTATCGATATTCAAATTGAAACATTTCTCACTCATTTAAAAGAAGGTTTTGTCACGTTACAATCAGAGTCCTTCATTGATATCGACACTACTCATTCTACATTATGGCAAACGGAAAAAACATGCATAATAACATATTGATATTATCTGTTGAACGAATGTTTCAGCGAAAAATGAGAATGAGGTGTTGGATAGAAGACAAACAAAGACACGATTATCACCAGAACAATGAGCGTATTCTATTTCTTTCTTATTATTTAAAAGTAACCTGCTATGTTCAAACGTCATTTACATACATGGTTTTTTTTTAAAATATATAATCTTTGAAAGAATATTTTGACAATAACATCACTATATTGATCATGTTTACATATAGTACAAAAAAAAAGCATATTTAAATCTGTGACAAATATGATAACAATGGTATATTTATTTTGTTTATTTCCAATATGTATACTTAAAATGTATGCGCCATCTAAGACATTAAAATGCATTCCTCAGTCAACAGTCGATTCAATCTATATCTTCAAATAGTTCTACTAGCTAATGTACTATTGGTACAATATAGAAGAAAATAAACAAATGAAAAAATTGAAAGCACACGCTTCTCTTCTAACATCATCATCCTTGAAAGCATATTTTGAACAAACAACCGAAATATCCAACGGATAAGTAAATAAACTTATCTATTACATGAAAGGGATTATAAAATAGGATAATGGTAAAAGAGTTTTGTGATAATATGGTGAGATAATATGAATTTTATTCTTGTAGAAAATGAGCCGAGTATGTATAAGTAAACAAATAAAACAGTAGATATCAAAAAATCATAAATGCGATTTTAATCTCTTTGTACATACATATCTCTGTGTTGTCCTTCGCATATTTAAAATCTGCAATTAAATCTTGGTCAAAGTTCGAACGGATGAGTTCAAACGATGCGTACGATCAATATATAATACAAAAAAGACTTTTTTTTTGTTTTTGAAAGTGTTCTATATATCGAACAACAAGAGAAGAAGACCGTTAGAGTGTTCTTGTAGATGATAGTAATTAATTTTCTTTAAATAGCGACTTCTCACTATAAAATGAATGATCTGAAAATAAATCAGATAATCAGATAATAGTACTTAGGTCAAATGACTGACTACTCATTTGAACTTACCTAACTATCTCGAAGCGAAGACAAAATCGCTATTAATTTTCCAATAGTTCTCGAATGAAATAAGCAGTAATGAAAACCGCAGTTCAACTATACATATATTAATGAATTTATCATCAATCGTTTATATATGGCACTCAGTTAAAGATAAGCTGTTAAGTTTGTTATGACCTTCATCCGTTATCAGTACAGACTGTCTATTGTATCAATGGTTTACAGTAATCAACATCTTTTGTTTTGTTTCACACAGTACACATAGGCGAAAAAAAGAATAAATTCGTTTAATCACCATTTCATTCAGAAAATCATTTAAATCTTTTTGCTAGTGAGAGATATTAAATGAAAGCAAAATGTTCTACCTCCCAGTCAAAGAATCTTGCTGTAAGATCTTATAAGATTCTTGTACGATTCCGTCTGATTTTGTAAGATTCTGTAAGAAACATAGAAACTGATTCTTGATATAAGATCTTATAATAAGATTTCATCAGATTTCGTAAGATTCTCGTATGATTTTTATAAGATTTTATAAAATGAATCTATTTCCAAGATTTTACAAGATCGTATAAGATCTTGATCTAATTTGTTGACCTGGATTAACGAAAATCAATGGCTTTCTTAAGACATTAATTTAAAAAGATCAGGTCAACCGCTCACTTCTTCGAATGAAACTCAAGTTTAGAACTTTAACTAACTAATCACACAGTAAGTAATAAAGACAAATCATCCATAATATCCCATTGCATGTCTACTCGATAACAATTCTATGTTTTAGGAAAACTTTCTCACTCATATATCATTACTTATACATAATAATAACAAACATGTATGTATACATACCTCTAGCATTTCAAATAATCTGAATGCACCCACTCATTTTTGATTTATAATGTAAATTATTTATGTTTAATCTTTAACCAATATTAATTTCACTTATATCTAAAATATTTAAAACGTTGTAATTGTTATATCGTTGATCACCATCTATAGAGTTCTTAAAAATTAAAACTGTCATGTCGATATATATGACTATCGCGTACTATACTACCAATATTTAACCGATTTACTAGTACTACGTTGACCACTATTATAGAAACACAGTTGTTGTTGTTCATTGTTTTCATTTGATTAAACAAGTGTTATACATGAAGCAGTTGTTCACTGGTTTTTTGTCTTCAACCATGACAATGAGAAATACAAAAGTGTTTAAAGAAATTGAATCCTCATTATTGTTCTTATCTACTCTAGGTAGTAAGTAGTAGACATATCCAATATATGTCTCAAACATTTCCTTTCTTTTATGTTGCAATTTGTTCAAAACACGATTGTCTGTATTAGATGAAAAAGGAAAAAAAAAGAAATTTGACTGAACAACAATATC